GATTGAAAAAAAATAACTTTGAATTCTCTGAAAAAAAAAAGCTAATTTGCAACTTCCAAAATTTAATTCTAAAGCGCGTGTTTCATAGAAAGGTTGAATGTATTTTTGGCAATTTTCTGTTAAAAGAAGATAAATTGAAGCCGAAAGAATACATTAATTTGAGAGATGCATTCAAATGTATTTATATTTGCATCAAAAAAAAATCAAATTTCAGTTCCGATTTACCTTGAGGTTTTTGATTTTTGCAGAAAAAAAAATGATACTTTGGTAGCCTAAAACAAGTCGAAGAACTAGTAAATAGCGGTGCGCACCAGGGTAGCCGATGCGATCATGCGTTTTGCGTGGTTCCGTCCAGCGAACGTTTGCCTGCTAAGGATTTTCACTGCTTTGCACTTTGGTCTGTGCACAAATAGTTGAAGTGTTGTCCACTTCCTAAGTCCACTTTCCGTATAAAAATTTCTCGCATTGTTACGCGGAAACAATTTGAAACCTTGTCATTCCGAAATTTCAACCCTATAATTCTCTGGCTTTTGAGTGATTTTCGAGCCAAAACTTTTATGTAGTCGTGCGTAAGACCTCGGCATGCGTGGGAGTTAAGTTTGCAAACTTCCTCCTGAAATCTTCAGCTTCCTACCTCTTCTGGCTTCCGAGTAATAATTCTTCCCACCAAAACATTCACAAGGATGTTGAGATCCAGGCATACCTGAAAGCTGAATTTGAATTTGCAAGATCGCATGTGGCCAGAGGAAAATAACCTAAAATTTTGGATTCCCAACCTTCGTGATTCCCAAAATAACTTCCTCCACCAAAACTTTCACAGAGTTGTGCGCATTACCCAGACTTACGGGGAAGCTAAATTTAAAGTTGTAGAGTTGTACCTGGGCGGGGGACATTACCGTAAAATTTTAGCTCCCTATCTTTTGTGATTTGTGAGATAATAATTTCCCGCTAAATCTTTTACGGGGCGGCACGTGATACCTGAACGTGCGGAAAGGCTGAATTTAAATTTGCGGAGTTGTGTGTGTGCAGCGCACATTGCTGCAAAATTTCAGCTTCCTAGCTAGTAATTTTCCCCACCAAAACATTGGCGGGGTCATACGTGATGTCCGCCGAAAGTGAAGGCCGAATTTAAGTTTTCGGGGTTGCACATGGGCGGTGAACATTCTACCAAAATTTCAGTGTCTCAGTTTTCGTGGTTCCCAAGATAATAATTTTCCCTGTCAAAGCTTTCGCGGGGTCATACATGGTTACCGTAGGTAAATGAAGGCCGAATTTAAGTATGCGGGGTTACACGTGGCGGGGGACATTTTACCAAAATTTCAGCATCCCAGCTTTCGTGGTTCTCGAATTAAAAACACGGGATAAAACTCACTCGGACATACACAGAGACAACTCCGTAACAGTATGCGTTTTGTGCTACTATTACACAGCACAAAACGCATATAAACAGAGTTTATCAAAATATATGCATTTGAGGGTGTAAAAAATGCACAGGATTAATCATATTTGTGTCAACTTGTTCGTATAAAAAAGAAATTCGATTCTTAGTGCTTCATCTTTAATCAACTTGTTTAGATATTTTCTGTGCAACTCGTCGGAGTGCTGGTCTGCCGTATCATTTTGTTTCATTACTTGCGACCGAACCGATCAGAAATGAAGCCAAATGCTTAAAAGAAACGCTGATTT